AAACTTCGCTCCCAAAGGGACGCACGTCCTGAAAATACAAGGGTGAAACAGCAGCAGCTGTATTCACCCGGCGCAGCTATTACCATCTATCTGTGGGAGCTTCCCGTCTCCCATACTTACGTTTAGATGGCGAGAACTTTCGCCCAGATAGTTCGGCAAGCTTTGGGATGCAACTTCCCGGGAATCCCGGCAGCTAAGCTGCCCGGCACCGGTCCGCTTGCGGTCTCAAAGTAAAGGGAAAACTGGTGTGTCGCAATTCCTATTCAATAGGAAGCCGACCTGATACCGATCCCCTTCAGGGGTCCTACAATAGGAAAGTCTATTTCCTATTGGACACCAGATAATAGGAAAGTCGGCCTCAACTTTATAAGAGCCGCACTGATCAGTCAGACCCACAAAAGGACTATGCAGAAGACCTGCCGTATACACCGGCAGTCTTCCAGAGCCTTTCCTGAGTCTATGCTTAGTTATGCCGACCGGCCCGGGCCGACCGGTCCGGGCCGACCGGCCCGGCCCGGCCGGCCGACCGGCTGAGTAGATCAGCCATATTCACCCGGCGCCCCTAGAGAACCTAAGGGCAAAGCTCTCGCTATCTAGCGAACTTCGGCCATATTCTCTGGGCGCTAGTGTTCTGACAAAGGAACCACTCTGAGGTTTAGCAAAATTGCAAAACGTTCTAGTGCAAAAGTAACCCGAGAGTGACCGGGAGAGAGACTTAACGTGCACACGCCAACAACCAGAATATCCCAGGGGTCTTGACGAGGTCAAGTAACCTCAGAAGGCGTGGCCGTACTTGCTTATTGTGGAGCTCTGAGACTACCTGAACAACGACTACATCGAGTTTTTAAGGGCCAGCTGAAAGTCCTTACGGACGGATTCGCGCTCAGGTGCTGAACCCTTTGTTGTGAGTTCGCCCACAGTGTGCTGACCCTCCTTTTTTGGGGCGCGTCGCCACATCCGGTTAGGTTTTGGGTTAGCATTCTTGCGCTGAACCTTTTTCGAAGTGAGTTCGCCAGTCAAACAAGTTCGGTGTCTGATTCGTTTATCCCTTGCGTGGGTTCAGGTGACAGACGCCAGGACGAGCGCCGCCATGACCGCAGGGAGGACAGCCGCAGACGATCACCGCTGGGACGACCGCGGTTGAGACGACCGTTGAAACAACCAGCGTGGACGCGGTGGGTGGCGCGGCAGAGGTCGTGGCAGGGGGGAAGAGAGTAGTTTTGCCGCTCACTCTAGTTAGCTTAAGCGCTTGGGGCGCCAGTGCTTGTATGTCGAGGTGATGCACCGGTATAATTTTAGACATTTACCCATCAACAGTGAGAGAGAGAGAGATTGAGAGTAGGAGTGATTCTGACACACGCAGGGAGTTCTGCACACAGTCACATACTGCCGCTATTGACAGTGGAACTTACACCGTTGAGAGCCTTAGTATTCTGTCCCCTGCCACTTTCGAGTGTGCTGCATAATCTGATAATACTGTGAGTTGGATGGTCGAAACCGACGACAACATGGATAATAAGCATGCGGAGCATACAGCTGGCCGCTTCACTGGCGGGCTAGGCGGGATGACTGTGTCGCATCTGCGACAGAGCTATAAACGAAGATGTTAAAGCTCAAGCTACGACCAAATACGAAGAATTTGAATGACAATAACTACTTCGATTTTCTTGTGGAACTGACCGCGGATCAGGCTCGCGATCGCGCCGGCGAGCTTGAGAGCCGCATGGCCGGCGATCCGGGCGGACGGAATGAGGCGCGCTTTGCGCATTCGAGCGCGAGCTTGCAGAATATCAACGTGAGAAGGAGGAGCATGATGCACTAGGAGCGACCGAGCGCCTAGCCGCAACTGCGCCAGTCAAGCCGCGAAAACCTGCGGCCCTCGAAATATATGAAGGCCCAGTCGACCAGTTCTGGGCCATGATCAAGGACCTCTTCCAGAAAAGTCCACTGCGTGGATAAACAAATTTAACAGCTTCCGTATGCGGACGAATGAGAGCATGTAGAGCCTCACCTAGAGGATGAAGACGCTCATATCTGTAATTACTTGATTCATCAAAGCAGTCAGTATCAAGGTTTTTAACGCTCATGTCGGAGTGCAGATCAGATTGTATCGGCTTCACATGGGCAGGGTTTGTAGTCACTGTGGCTGCGCCATCTTGCCGCGTGATTGAAGTTGAGAAAGGAGGGCTGCGCTTGCCGGCGAAGTTTGGTGATTTCATGAAAGAAATGTCTGCAGTCAGAGGATATGTTATCGGTTTCAAGCTAAGATTGAAAGCAAGGGCCATTGTTGGGACTTTTCAAGCTAGCCAACTCGTGCACACCGCGACGCAGCTGTACGTACCTAATGTAGAAGAGGGTGTAAGTAGGGTGTACACGGATTTGGGTTGGGCCAATGGAATCAGCATATTTTCGCAGTGTCGAGTATGCTTCGCTGCGCATTGACAAGCTCCTGATTTCCTCGTCCCACCATGAGCGGCAGTTTGAACCAATGACTTCAATGGGAACGGATGAAAACACGGCTGCTTGAATGTGGCAGTCAAAAAGGAGTACAACTGGACGAGGCTCGAGGTGAGGGCCTCCCCATTACGACTCCCCAAGTCGGCTGATTTGCAAAAGAAGGTACGTCGCTTTTGTTGCCCACTTTGACATCTGACTTGCGAGAGTCGCTTGGAATTGATGCAGGATGTGCACGGCGTCGAAGAGCCTGGAAGTTTGGAATTGTACATTGGGGGTGCTCCAGCTGAGGGACGTCAAACTTGACCTGCCAATTTACAAAAAGAAGGCGGTGATTAAAACCAATTGGCACTTGAAGAATTGGATGCACATTCCACCCGTAACGTGTTGCTTTGTACGGGGGATTAGGTACTGTAACCAAGTAGTCGATGATGGAGGAGCGGCCATTCTCATATCTGTTGGCATACGCGGGACACCCAAAGTTGGTTTTCAAAAGGGAGGGCAGTAAGACATCCTAGACAGCAAAAGCAAAGTGCGGGAAAGCCTAGAGCAATTTGCCATATGAGTTGGCGAAACCCAATCACTAGTGAGAGTACCCAACCGCGCGTTGAAGCCACCAACAAGGAAGACCTCCCCTTTTGAAAGGTATTGAATATAAGACTCGAAAAGGTGAGCACAGAATTGTTGTCGTTTCGCAAGAGAGTGCCGCTGTGTCAAGCAGTACACAACACAGACAAAGGTGACTTGGGTAGATCCAAAGCCGGCTAGCTTCAACCACATAAACTCATGGATTTTATTGGTGTGGACAATGTTGATGAAACCTTTCAACTCTTTCTTGACTGCACAACCAATGCCACGGTGATAAAGCGGCCGAGACCTAAGAACCAAATGTAACCAGTGTAGCCCAAGTGGCAGCAAATACATTTAACAAAAATGCGGTTCCCGGATTCTCCGGTCACTCAACACTCCCCTCCAAGGCCCCTTCCGACCAAGGAAGTAACTGACGCCATGCCCTCAGGACTTTAAAGCGGCCACTTTCTTGAGCTCACTTTTTACGCTACACCAGGGCAACCGTTTTGCGCAGCCAGCCGCAAAACTTTTCGTTCTTGCTGGGAATCGAACCTAGTCCGGTCACCGCATTTTTCTTAGAAGCATTTACTGTTGAGATCAAGGAGTCTTTAATCTTAATCTCTGTTAGAATTAAGAAGTCTTTGGTTTTAATCTCTGTTGAGATTGAGGAGGTTTTGTCTTGATTACGCCCTATACCATTGTAGTATGGAGGGTTCATTGTGTAATGCATAGGTTTGGTCTTAATGGGCCGAGATTCAGGTCTTAATGCTTGCGAGATTAAGGACTTGATGTAAGCGAGATTGATCTTAATGTGCTGTAAGATTGACGTCTAAAGATGGTTAAGATTAAGATCAATCGAGATTAAGACAACCAACGTAAAGAGCACGTAGATTAAGATCAGATTAAGATCAGATTAAGATGAACGCATACGAGACCATTGCGATTAAGGACAGATTAAGAGGGATTCGTGTGGATCGTCCGATGGTAGTTGTTGGAGTAGTTGGAGCTAGGCCGTCGATTTGAAGAAGGGACCACCTAGGCTAATTAAGGACTCCACATAAGCTAGAGAGACCTAGCTACGTGATTGAACTTGATTTGGACTCTTGACTTGTGATGGACACCCATTCCTAGTAGTTGTGCACTTGAAAGGCGCTCCAAGGCGCTTGCTTTCAACATTTACGCATTGCCACTCGGGCTACACTAGCGCTAGTGTAGCCCGAGTGGCAGTGCGTAAATACTTCTAACAGATAAGGCCTGGCATTTGCCAACTTCCTGGACATCAAGAATGTCAAGTTGCTTTTCCGCAAGTACCTTTCTAGCGTCTTGATGTTGAAATCACACGCTCATGCTTGGAACCTACGAGGGATTCACCACCCTCACACACAAGCGCCTTAATTCTCACAAAGCATCTACCTTTTCCAGATTCTTAATGTCGAATCCTTCCAAATATGTCTGGTCTTAATGTGCCATCTACTTGTGATTTAGATTTTTGCCAAGCACTCAATTTCTTCCATCTTCATCCATCAAGCAGTCAATCCGTTTCATCTTAATCCGCCACGCACGTAACTTCTTTCCTGTAAATCTGCCAAACTCTCCATATTCGTCGTTGCCTATAAGGAACCCATCGACCGGCTACACCGAAGTACACATCACAAAAGAACCCTATCACAATGGACTCAATTCTACGGCTCACTTTTCGCGCATCCTACGGTGGATATTCATTCTTGCAAGAATGAATATCCACCGCTCACAATAGCTCACAATGGTACGGCCGACCTTATGCATCAGACCTACGCTTCCATGGACGACTCAAGCACAAGACATTAGAGCGTACTCAAGGCTAGTACCTTCCAAGTCTAACATATGGAATTAGAGCCAAACTACCCTCTATTTCCGCCTACCTCTAGATCACAATTTGGCCGTCAAAGAACCCCGTATCTTAACACTCCCACGCGGACCAATTGTCCCACTTGCATCTAATCCTTCCAACCCGCTCGCTTCTTGGCCTTCGGTGTTACCCATTCCGTCTCGGCCTTCCAAAATTCTCCCGGTGGCACACGTGCCCGCTCCGGATATCGCTTGCCGCCCGTCTCTAGCGACATCACCTTTCCGCTCTCATCCTTGTCCAACTTCCGGTTGATCCGTACTCCCACGCGTTCCGCTGCGGTTGCTTCTACGGCTTCCGCTGCCGCTCCCACGGCTTCCGTTGCACCGTGCTTCTCCGTCCCCTTCTCCGTTGGGAACTCCGTTTTTCCGCCGCTCACATCCACCGGTTGGGTCTCCTTCACCCCATCGTCCGACTCATCGTCCGACTCAAGGTCAACCTCAATAACTTTGAGCGGCCTGTTAGAAGTATTTGCGCACTGCCACTCGGGCCACACTGGCGCCAGTGTGGCCCGAGTGGC